TAGTCTAGGTTTCTGCTGCTGCTTTTTTCTGTCCTTTGTCTAATACAGCGGTTCTCAACCTGTGGGTCACGACCCTTTTGGGGGTCGAACGACCCTTTCACAGGGGTCGCCTAAATACATCCTGCATATCAGATATTTACATTATGATTCATAACAGTAGCAAAATTACAGTTATGAAGTAGCAACGAAAGTAATTTTATGGTTGGGGGTCACCACAACATGAGGAACTGTATGAAAGGGTCGCAGCATTAGGAAGGTTGAGAACCACTGGTCTAATAGGCTCTTTGGTAGTATGGAAGTATTGTCTGAGCTCCTTTATGGACAGAGTTGTAAATTCTAAAGCAACCAATAAGTAAAACCTAGTATTTCCTAATTGTTATGAGAAGGCCCACTGGCTCCTTTGATTTTTCACTTTTCTTTTTCTTATTTTTTAAAAATATTTTTATTGATTCCAGGGAGGAAAGGAGAGGGAGGTTAAAATATAAACATCATTCAGGAGAGAGAATCATTGATCAGCTGCCTCCTGCACGCCCCCTACTGGGGATCGAGGCTGAAACCGAGGCATGTGCTCTGACCAGGAATCAAACCGTGACCTCCTGGTTCATAGGTTGATGCTCAACCACTGAGCCGCACCAGCCAGGCCACTTTTCTTTATGGCCTCTCCCTCCACACTGACCCCCACCCAGACATGGAGCTATTGCTGCTGAAAGGGCAGTGTATTGGTTCAAAGCATTGTGTTCAAATTCTGGCTTTGCTACTATTATCCCTAAGAGCCTTGGGCAAGTTATTAAGCACTCAGTGTGCCTCATGTTCCCATCTGTAATAGAGGAATAATGACGGTACCTATCTTATAAGGGCATGTGAGGATTAAACGAGATAGTATAGGCACTGTGTTCTTGCCAGTACAGTTATGACCCGAATGTCCCTTAGCCATCCAGGGAGGGCTGGCAGGAGGAGGGGCCAGCTCTGTGCGGAATGTTCTAGATTCGTGCTTCCCAAATGTCAGTGTGCACATCTGTGCCTGAAGTCTGAGTCAGTGGGTGGGGCCTCAGCGTGAATTCCTGACATGATGCCTGTGATCCTGAGCAGAGTTCACACTTCGGTCTGTACGTGAGCACTTAGGTCAGGCTGTTCCTGGGATCCATCCCAGAGATCCAGAGGGGGATAGAGAAGCCTGGGACTGGGGCCCCCACCCCATCCCGAAGACCTGAGGAGGCTGGACCCTGAGCTGAGTCTGAGACAAGGGTGCTCTTCACCACTAAGTCACCAGCACTCAGAAGAGCTCAGAGGATTAAGTACGTGAATGAACCTAAAGTCTAGTGAGGTGCGGGCTCCAGGGCGGCGGCTGTGCTCCCTCTGCCTGGGAATGGCCCTGTCCCTGTTAGAACTCCACTTTCCCACATTCTGTCCTTTGAGCTTCCAAATCCAGTGATCAATTAGCCTACAGCCTCATTTTAGGCTGGCGACAAGCAGGGCTGGTGACTGGCTGGACAGGTCAGGGGCCTCTGAGCATTCTGGCAAGGGCTTGTGCCAGATGGCTGAGGAGGAAAAACTGAACATCTGTGTTCTTGGTAACCCCTTGGTGAGAGCCGAGAAAGAGCCTGGGCAGCTGAGGACTCAGTTCTTTCCCTCCCTCCTTTTCCTGGTCCTGAAAGTTCCTTGTGTGAAACTTGCTGCTGAGCTGCTCAGGAGCCATGTGTATGCGGAGCTGCATGCAGATGCATACCCGTGCGGGCAGGTGTGCATGATGGGAGTGATGTGCTTCTGGGATGGCAGGTGCCTGGGCATATGCACACATGTGGACCTGTGTGGGTTGTATGGAGCTGCGTCAGGGTCTGGGTGTGCTGTGCACGCCCCAGTGCAGGATTGCACCCGCGGGCACACCCTCTTTCCTCTTCTGCCAGGTCTCTGTGGCTCCTCTGTGCTTTCCTGCAATGGTAAGCAACAGACCCCAGACTCTGGACAGAACTGCAAAATGTCCAGGTTGCAGAGAAGGAAAACAGGTGCAGCGAGAGGGACCAGCCTCCCCGTGTCTGCGGGACCACCAAGCATGCTGCCTGCAAAGCTGAAGTGGTGGCAGCTCTCTTCAGGATCTGACCTGAATCCCAGAGGTACCGAGTCTGCTCTATCAGACCAGGACCAGGCTGTCCCAGACAGAGGGCTGAGGGTAGCGTTTTCCTCCTGGCTTCTGGAAGCAGCAAAGGACCAATGGGCAGTGGTCTCGGGTGCCCAGATGTGTGCGAGGTATTCCTGTCAGCCCTTGACTCACGTGGGCAGGAATAACTCCACTCTGCAGCTGGGGAAACCAAGGTTCAGGAAGGGGTGAGACCCACCCAATGAAGTGGCCTGTGCTGTACAGGGAGCCCAGCCCAGAGCCAGGAGGAGGTACCCTGAACCCCAGCTGGCAGTGGCTGCTTGGGGGTGGGGGCTCTGGAGGCAGGGTCTAAGGTCAACCTGGTGTAATGCTGGTGCAACAGGACATGCAGGGTGTAAACTGTGAGGTGCTTGACTGTTGTGCAGGGGCTGAGGGGTTCCTGCTGTGACTGAAGGAAGGAATGGCTGTGGAGGGTCTGAGGACCCCTGGAGGGCTTTGGCCTTGGGCACACACCAACCCCCCTCCCAACCACCCTCTCCAGAAGCCTACACCCAGGCCTGACCTGGCAGAGCCCGAGTTAATCCTCTAAGCCTTCCTCCTCCCCCTCTTGTCTAAGTGCTTTTGTTCCTGGGGAAAATTGAGAACCTGCAGTGACCAGGAACCCCACAAATCGCCTGTGGCATCTGAGCCAGCCTGGGATTGTGACAAAAACTGCCCACCCCCCCCCCCCCCCCCACCCCGGGAAAACAAGGCCTGTGAACTGGGTTTGTGGGCTCCCCAGGAGTAGGCATGTGTGTGCATGTGTGTACATCACATGCTGAGACACAGGCACAGGAAAACATACATTGGTGCTATTCCAAACACATGTGAGTACATGTGCAACTTCCAGGTCAGACCCACACATAGCTGACACCACCACCACCACCACCACCCCCCATGCAAACATGCATATGCCTGACATTTATGAACTACGTCCTTTCCAGTCTGAGGGCCTGAGGTGGGCGATGCCTGACCCTCAGTTCCCTCAGGCCTTCTCTTCCCGGCACAAGCTCCCCAGGCCTCCCAGCCTTGCCCCTTCCCTTCGCTCCCTCCTCACTTTCTCACCACAAGGACAGAGAAGGGGCCCTTCCTGAGCTGCCTGCCAGATGGTTGGGAGCAGATGTGGCTTTGTCTTTTCTGAAGAACTGGTTCTGTGGAATTTCCACTTATTTCCTGTCAAAGGCCAAGGGCTTGCTCTGGGGGCTGACTCAGGGCCTCACAGCATGAAGAGGGATTCGGGTAAGCCAGGCTGTTGAACATATGACAAGCCCTGTCATCTGGGTAGCACCTAAGCTTTGCAAACTGCCTTCTTTCCAGTGTCTTCCTCATTCTTCATGAAAGCCTTGAGAGGTAGGCGCCTTCATTTCCTCCATTTGACAGATGAGGGAACCCAGGCCCAGAGTGGGATGGGACCTGCCTGGGGTCACACAGCAACATGAGGCATAGTTGGCCAAAACTCGTCTCCTGAACTTGGGCTTGGAAGAAGTTTTCGCTTTCTTGGGGCTTAGAGAATAAGAACTGGAAGGTTGGGGCAGGCTGGGACCCCCAGGTGGGCCCAAGAGAGGAGCACCTCACACACCTTTACCAGGAGCTGGCTGAGGGCACAGACAGCCCCATCACAGGCCAGCGCTCTGCTGTGAGGCTCAGCCCGTCGTCCACCCTTGTGGACATGCCAGAGAAGAGGGCAGGAAGGGGAACAAGGACACCTTTGCATTGCTGTGTGTTCCAGACATGTCTCTGCCCCCCTCTGAGCCCAAGGTCTTCTCTCTACAGTGGAACATTGGGGCTGGCTGGAGAATGCACTCCCTCTCTGAGCTTGTAAAGGAAGCCCTGGTAGTCCTGAGCTGAACCTGTGCCTAGGGAGCCCCTAGCCTTGGCCCTTGTCCTGCTGCTGAGATCAATCAAGACAGGGCCTGACACAGAGACGGGGCTCAGGGCCTGGGGGCTCCTCCAGGCTGGGCAGGAGGTGGTGTGAGAAGAGGACCCAGCAAATCCCCACGGTGCCAGACAGCCTGTCTGAAATTGCAGCTCTCTGCTGCTTACCCTCCCTATGTTTTGCTAAAGTTCTTTTTTTTTTAAATATATTTTATTGATTTTCTTTACAGAGAGGAAGGGAGAGAGATAGAGAGTTAGAAACATCGATGAGAGAGAGAAACATCGACCAGCTGCCTCCTGCACACCCCCTACTGGGGATGCGCCCGCAACCAAGGTACATGCCCTTGACCGGAATCGAACCTGGGACCTTTCAGTCCGCAGGCCGACGCTCTATCCACTGAGCCAAGCCGGTTAGGGCTGCTATAGTTCTTAATTACTACTCATCAACTAAAATAAACTGGTCTCCACGCTAGAATGTAGGTGCTACAAGGGCAGTTCCTTGTTTTATGCTCTCGAATGCCTTAAACATTACCTACACAGAGAAGGTGCCCAATAAGTGCCCATAAAAAAAATAAAAAGAGGAGAAAGAGAAGGAGGAGGACTCATCTTCGAATGGGAGGGGCCGTCCAGTCCACCATTGGCCCGAGGCAGAGCCACCCTGGCTTCCTTCGCATCAAGTCCAAGCTCAAGGATGGATTGAAGCTAGGGAAGGGGATGGTGACCGGGCTCAGATTTTCTTCCAAGTCACCTTCAATCTGAAGAGCCATCCTCAGTCCCCAAGGAGACAGGGTGGCATCTGGACCAGTGGAGTCAGAGCTGCAGTCAACAGAGCCATTCATCTCAGGGCCTCAGCCGCTCTTAATGGACCTTCCAGGCACTGCTGAGAAAACCAGGTTAAATGTTCCCTGTGACAGCAATGAGTAGGACCAGGGCTCTCTCCAGACTTGAGAAAGGCCAGGAGAGGGCTGAGGGGTGGGGTGGAGGGGAGGAGGAGAAAAATGGTCACCTGATGAGCGCCTACCCTGTGTCAAGCCCTGGTCCTTAAATGTCACCTCACTCAGTCTTCCCCACAGCCCTCAAGGCTGAGTTGATGAGCACACTCAGGGTGAAGTGACAGCTTGCAGCTGGTTAGGGGCTGAGTCAGCCTTGGTGTTAGGGACTTGAGCTGGTATGTTCCTGGGCGTTGGGTCCCAGGCCTGCACCTTGCCAGCTCTGTGCTGCGGCCAGTTACTTCCCCCTTCAGATATCTCAGTTTCCTCATCGGCTGTCTTCTGGGACTTCTGGGAGACATGCACGTGACAGTTTGTGGCGCAGAAACTGGCTAGCAGTAGGGGCTGCTCCAGGCGTCAGAATTTGCTCCAACACTTCACCGGCCAACGTGGAGCTCACTAACTCCTGGGTGAGTGCCCTGGGTCAACGCTGTGAGGATCCCTGGGCCCCGACGTCCTCTCAGAGCTCCCTACACAGTCTGCTCGCAGCCATCGTGGCGTCTCGCAGACTGGAGTAGGAGCAGGAGCAGACTTGGGGCTCCTCCTCCCTCTGCTGCCTGATTGTGCCTGGAGCCTGCAGCCTATGCAGCCTGGAGGGCAGAGGAGATGGAGATATGGGGCCGGGGCTGGGCCATGGTGCGGGAGTGGAATAGTGGAGGCAGGATTGGCAACCACCTCAGCCGGGGTTTGAGTCCTGAATGACATAGGACACTTTTCCTCTCTAGGCCTCAATTCCTTACTCTGTAAAACAGGGATAACAGTGGTCTCCCCCCAAGTATTTGAAAACTGTTAAGTGTCCTGTGCTGGTGAGGGTTCCTTGAGGCGGAGCCTGTGGGGGAGGGGCTGCCATGATTAGGTGACCAGATGGAAGTCCCCAAAGGAGGTCCTTGGGAAGCTCTGGCCTGTGCCATCCTAGCTCATTTCAAGAGACCCTGAAGCTGACCCCATGTCCGGCAGGGAAAGTGTGTTCCTAAGTCAAGGTGTGACTTGTTAAAGAGGAACAAGGCAGGGTAAACGAGTGTATCTGGGGGAGCAGGGGTAAACTTTTCCGGGGTTTCTGTTGCCTTTCAACTCTCGCTGACACCACCCCTGGGGAAAAGGGAGGCAGCACAGCCTATGGGACAGTCCTGGCCTCTTAGGATCTCTGGGATTCACATCTCTTGCCGTCTCTAGACCAGGTCCTCAGCCAATTCAAGGACAGTCTCTCCACCCCTTGTTATCATATGAGATGATTCATGACAAGGCTCTTTGCAAACTGTAAAGTGCTCTGCCTCTGATGGCACATCTGCATGTGTGCGGAAAGCCCTTGGGTGTGTATGCACAAGTGAGAATGTGCAGCTTGTGAGTGTGTGCACACGTGTGTGCAATGTGTGTGAGTGCGCATGTTCCCCTGGCTCGGTGGGGTGCAGTCACGCCACACCGCCCACGGCTCCCTGTTTGGCTTGGGCTTTTCTCCTCTAAACTTGTTAAAAGTCTTTTTTTTGTGTGTTTCCTCGCTGTTTCTTAGTTTACCAGAAAGGGATCGGTCCATGGTCCGGAAACCTAGCAATTGTCTCTGAGCCTACTGACTCTTCTCCCCTCCCTCCCTTGCCCACTCCTCTGTGCAGCCCACCTGCCACCGCTGTTCCCTTCAAGGCTCTGCGCTGGCTGCTCTCACTTCATTGTCCCATTGGCTCTGTCAACATCCCAGCACCCGCTGGAGGTGCTCTTATTATTCCCATTTTACAGGCAAGGAAATGAAGTCTCGGGGAGAGGAAATGGCTCTCCCAGAGTTACCCCCCCCCCCCCCCCCCCAGTGCTGGGGTTTTCACTCCTACCAAACGCCAAAAACTTTATTCTTAAACTATTGTGGCCTGCCTGGTGGGCGTGTGCTGGCGGGTGGGCGGAATGGATACATGAATGATAAAGACAAATAAATAAATCACTTGGTCAATATTGAGCTGAAAGAGAAGGTTAAGTGATATTGACAGCGGCTGTCATTTGTTAAGCACCTACATGTGTTAAGTGCTTCACCTGAAAGCAAATGCAGCCAAGATAATTGTTATCCCCGTTTTGCAATTGAGGAGGCTGGGGTTCAAAGAAGTGAAAGCATCTTGTTCAGTGTGGGACCTGGGGGGCCATTTGCCCTCCCTAGAGGAGGGGTGAGTCGGCAGAGCCTGGTGACAGGTGCCCATGGTGGCAGAGGCTGTGTGTCTACACGGCCCTCCCCGGTGACACGCCACCCCAGCCCCTCCTGTCTAGGGCCATTTCCCCATTTGTCTCTGAAATGAGTTTCTATTTCAGTCTGGGTTAGGGATCTGCTGTCCCAGCTCTGACTCTCCCTCTGATTGTTGGCATGTGTAGTAAGGGCAAGTGCCCTGGCCAGGGCATGTGAAGTATCCTCCTGGTCCCCCTGCCCTGTCATTAACAGCCCCCATCGGAGGGCACGCCTGTGCACGATGCAGTTACGTGTCTATAGAGATGGCCTAGGGCAGTGGTCGGCAAACTGCGGCTCGGCAAACCACGGCTCGCGAGCCACATGCGGCTCTTTGGCCCCTTGAGTGTGGCTCTTCCACAAAATACCACGTGCGGGCACGCACGTACAGTGCGATTGAAACTTCGTGGCCCGTGTGCAGAAGTCGGTATTTTGTGGAAGAGCCACACTCAAGGGGCCAAAGAGCCGTATGTAGCTCGCAAGCCGCAGTTTGCCGACCATGGGCCTAGGGACCTAGGGGCTAGTCGATCCAGTCCTCTGCTTAAAGAACAGATGGGCTCGGTGGGCTAAGTCAGGAGGAGTCGGGGCAGAGCGTAGCATCCTGGTTCCCAGTGCAGAGCTTGTTTTCATGGGCTGGAGTGGAGCGGGGGTTGTTCTGTGGCCCCAGGGAAGAGCTGACTCGCGACATCTACAAGGCAGATCTGTGCACAGAGTGAAGGGTGACATTTCTCTGTCATGCCAGTGGAATGGGAACCGGCTATTCAGGTCAGCCTGACGTCCCCTGAGTGCTTTCCATTGGGGATGAGGAGGCACACTCGCACAGGAAAAAAGAAATCGCATGTTGAAATAAGAGCTAGGCTTCGACCCAGGGCCAGCATTTGCTGGCTGGCTTCTCAGACAAGTTATTTAACTTCTTGGAATCTCAGCGTCCCAGCCTGTAAAATGGGATAACAGAACCTACCTAACCAGCTCAGAGAGTGCATAAAATAAGATAAGGCACGTAACATTACTTGTAGGTTCTTGGGAAATTTTAGTTCCTTTCCCTCCTCCCCTGGAGAGCCCTTCACCCGAGGCGGAGACATGCCTTTAGGCAGCAGCTAGTCTGATGGTTGAGGCAAGAGACAAAATTGGTAAGATGTTAGAATAAACCCCGCGGACTCACCAACACTTGACATTGCAGTGCGGAGTCTCATTTTTCATGTCACAAAGGGGAGATAGAGGCACAGAAAGGCTGATATTTGAGGCGCCCTGAAGTGCCTCTGTTGTAAAAGGATAAAGCAGATAATACAGTAAAACGTAAACAGTTCACAGCCTATGTCTCCAGACCAAGCCAGACTCCCAGATTCACAGTGAGGTTCACATACTTTGTGCCAGGCCCCACCATGACGTTAACACAGATGTATCCTCCTGTATAATGAAGAGGCAATATGCAAATTGGCCCTCCCTCCGTCACGCCATCACAAGATGGCTGCGCCACAGCAGAGGCGGGATTCCCGTAACAAGCTGTAAGAAGTGATCAGCAGGGACCTGAGCCTGTGTGGCACCTGGACCGGGGAGGGGGACCTGAGGCTGCACCCCCCGCCCAGCAGGGCTTAATGGGGGACCTGAGGCTGCACCCCCCTGTCCAGCGAGGCTTGACAGGGGTGGGGCCGGCCGGGTCTGGATCTCACCCAATGGGGATGGGGCCAGCTGAGTCTGGGTCTCGCACGATTTTGAGGTGCACGTGGGTGGGCGGGAACTTGACTCTGGGTCCCGTGGCATGCCCCAGACTCTGACAGGAGGAAGATTTTTATATACATTTTACTAATTTTCTTTCATCTCTGACACTTCCATTATAGAGAAAGGGAAAATAGCAATATTAAAATGTTTCCTCTAATTAATTCCCTTTTAATGTGCACAAATTTTGTGCACCGGGCCCCTAGTCTTTACAATAGGAGCCAACAATCATGAAATGTTAATACTGTAACCCATGGTCAATAAGCAGGGAAACTGAGACCCAGCATGTTACATAACTTGCTCAAGGTTACAGCTAATAGAAGCAGAGGGAGGATTCAAAACCAGGACTGCCTGACACCCATGCCTCTCCTACTTCATGGGGTACTTGTCCACAAAAGATGTCAGGCCTTAAATCAGAAATACATAAAATAAAATGGGAAAATGGGAATGACAATCTAAAAAAGGAAGCTATTAAGGAAATGCAAATCAAGACTGTAATATGATATCACTTTACATCGAGGAGGATGGCTATAATGAAGAAGACAGATGAAAACAAGGGTTGAGGGGGCTATGGAGAAAATGGAACTCTTACACGCTACTGGCGGGAATGGAAAATAGTGCAGCCACTTTGAAAAAGTGTCTCAGTTCCTCAAAAAGTTAAATATAGAGCTATTATATGACCCAGCAGTTCCATTCTTAGCTATATACCCAAGAAAATTGAAAATACACATTCACGCAAAAGCTTATACACAAATGTTCATGGCAGTGTTATTCATAATAGCCAAAAGGTGAAAACAACCCAGATGTGCACCAGTTGATGAGCAGGTAACCAAAATATGGCCTGTCCATGCAATGGAATATTCTTCAGCCATAAAATGAAATTCTGATCCATGTTACAACATAGGTGAATCTTGAAGACATCAGGCTAAGCAAAATAAGCCAGAAATAAAATGACAAATCCACAATATGTAAATCCACAAATACAGAAAGTAGGTAAGTACCGTAGTTTCCACAGGATGGAAGGAGAGAAGAATGAGGACTAACTGCTAATGGGTATAGGATTTCTTTTGTGGTGATGAAAATGTTCTAAAATTAGATAGTTGCAGTCTAGTAAATATACTCAAACTCACTGAATTGTACTCTTTAAAGGGTGAATTTTATTGTAGGTGAAGTACGTCCTAATTAAAAAAAGAAAACAGTAGCATGAATATATAAGGTACTCAGAAGGTTAAGACTAACTTTGATCCTAAGGTAGGAGAGCACAGGCATTTGACTTTGAGCTTCCTAGCAGCTACAGCAAAAAGGGAGAAGCAGCTAGGCCATGTGGCTCAGTGGTTGAGTGTCATCCTATGAACCAGAGGTCATGGTTTGATTCCCAGTCAGGGCACATGCCCAGGTTGCAGGCATGGTCCCCAGGAGGGGGCATGCAGGAGGCAGCCGATCAATGATTCTCATCATTGATGTTTCTATTTTCTCTCCCTCTCCCTTCCTCTCTCTGAT